TCTCCCGATATGATAGTGCCGGCAGTACCGATGGCGCCGCTAACAACAATGAGGATAGCGGGTCTCTACCCCCTATGGAGGGCGACGGCCTGCGGGGACCGCAGGCGGCTGGGTGGCTGGCCCAGACACCATGGTACGCGGTCCCGATGACGGGGTGGAGCGGAATGCTACTCCCCTGCTCCACCGGAGATACGAGTGCAAGGGTGGGGCTGGTATGAGCTCCCTTCGGTCGGCGGGGTGGTGGGGGTACATGAAAATATTTGAAAATGATTCTCGTGACCCCTCCCCAATGCCCGCCGAGGGTAACCATGGGGGTTCTAGTGGGTAAGAATCCCACACTACCCTGCCTCTCCTCCCTAGGAGAGGCGTGGTGTCTATACAAGATTTTCCCCATGTAAAAAAAAAAAGGTCTAAATAATACTAAACATTATTAGACTGATATTTTGTAGCTCTCCCATTATTTTTGATAACTTCAGTACAACATCGTGGCATAGAATTAATTAAATAAATATACCTGTCAACTGGAATGGATTTACAAGTTTCTTTGATTGTTTCATACAAATTATAAATATTTTTTGGTTTCTGACATTTTATTTCATGATCAACATCAATCTACAGCATCTCTATTGTATTGAGATCTGGAAACTAAGCAGGCCATTTCATAATATTTAATTTTTCTTTTCCAAAAAATCTTTTACACGTGCCGTATGCGTCGGATTATTATCCTCCTGGTAAATCCAATCGTTAGGTATTTTGTCTTTAATAAATGGAAGAACATTTTTTGTTATATATAAATAAGCAAAACGATCCGTAATTTCTGTAATCCGATGTATTGAACTAGTACCATTCATGCTCATACAGCCCCAAACATGTACTGATCCATCACCACCATGACGGTTGGTTTTGTACAATTTTTATTAAATTCTTGACCAGGTTTGCGTTTCACGTAGGATTTTCCTTCAGAACCAAATTGGTTAAACTTGCTTTCGTCGGTAAACATAACTTTAGACAACATAACATGAAATATGATTTTTTGCAAATTCAAGTATGGCACGTCGATTCTTTTCGGATATTGGAAGTTCTTTTCGGGCTATTCTCCCCATCAATCATAAAAGAAACTCATTTCAGTTTATAAAAGAAATTCCATTATCTCCAGATATATTAACCTTGGAGAAACAGAAATATCGAGGAAAGCATTTCCTCAAAGTATAAATAACACTTTCAAAGTACCAGATAAAAATTATTAAACCTAATCTGATTTTCATGATATTGTTCCTGAAAGTTCGACTAACGCTGTGTTCATAAGCATACATACATACATATTTCCGCCACTGCATACACACTGGATGAGTCTCGTACATGCCGACTTCAAATATCTCTTAAATTATTTGGTGTACGAAAAAATGTTTCAGACAAAAATTGCGTGGTTTTCTGGGGAACATGCAATACCCTAATCGATTTTTTATTTATTCGCCTTTTTATCGAGGTATGAAGGTCACTTTCAGTTTTTTAAATGGGATGCTTAACATTTTTTCTCGAATTTGGATAAAACATCGAATTTTACGTAAAAAAGTGTTACATGAAATAGGGTCTAAAATGAATACTTACTGAGATATTCTCAAATTAATCATCTTATACTAGAAAATACGTTCAGTCATGTGATTGTTAATTTTAATTAACATAACTATCGTAATTTCTTTACGACGTCAGATCACGTTTGTAAACACATTCCTTGTTAGATGTTAGACATTATCAACATGAGATACCTATTGCACACAGTAAACGTAAAAGTCTTGTTGAGAATAGTAGAAGAAGTACGGGTAGCCCCGGACAGCGGGTAACCGCGGACAGTTGAGTATTTCGATTATCTAACTGCATAAAGAAGCAAATGACACATTCCTAGTGTCAAACACATTTTTCAGTTAATTGTAGATCGATTGGGCAAGCGATACTGATATTACACTTAATTTTGTTACGATTAAAAGCGGTATTCCTGTTCCAATCAAATTTTATCAAACCTTATTCTGAATTAAACGTAGTTTAAGATCCTTGAGTTCTTGTAATTTTTTTTTGGTATTGTATAAATGGTTAATAAAAATATTGGATCACGTCCATTGGGTAGCCCTGGTCACTTATATGGCGGGTACCCCCGGTCACTTTTATCTATTGCAAATTTAAAAATCGTACATTTTCCTATTATGATAGTTTGTTCGCTTATGTCTTTCCAAGATTCTGTATTATATAAATAGTTTTATTTTAAAAACGGGTAAAAAATGCCGAAATTTAAATGGGATGAAAATAACATGAAAGACGCCATTGTTTATATTATGAATGGTGAATTATCAATAAGATTAGATACTGAAAAATATAACGTGGCACATAGCTCTGTACAATATAAAAAGCAGTCAAGAAATAATTCTTAAGCTGAAATTAGGTCGCTTTGACTCAACTTTTAATAAGGAATATTTATAGCAACTTTATAATCACGTGAAACAATTGGACACTCGCCTAGACTAGAATAGAGTTTTTGAAACTAGCTTTTGATTCGGCAGAACGTCTTAATATTCCTTATAGATTCAACAAAGAAAAAAGAATAGCATCAAGACACTAGTTTGTAAAGTAACTTTCAAGGAAGGCTCATCATGATAAATATACAATACTTAAATAACATAATAACGAATGATATAATATTATTTGCAACATTTATAAGAATATTGAACAGAAAAGTGAATGAAATAAATAAAAAAAATTACTGTCCAGGGCTACCTGTCATTTTTTTTTTATCCTTAAGACTAAAGGCCAAAATTCACTGATTTTTTTCTTGAAGTCATATAAGAGATATACTCAAATTTTAGAATTATAGGAAAAGAAGAAGGTCTAAAGTTCATTTTTTGAAAGTTTAATTTAACTAAATACCTTTTGTTAGTATATTTTTTTACTATTTCATTTAAGTGTCCAGGACTACCCACTCTTCCCCTATTACTTTATTTGTTGTATCAAAATTTGCTACCAGCCTGACAATTGTCTCACAGTACCTTACTGCATGTTCTCCAATAACTGTGGAAATGTTTCCAAAAGTTCTTCGTTTACTCATTTTCCAATTTAGCAATTACGTTGATTGTAGCAAACATTACCTGAGTATGTAAGTAAATAAAACTTGATATACAGCCTGGGATAAAATTAAGGGGACAGGTACCGTAAATGGTTACCATATAAATTTAATCAAAACAGCATTATTAGTGTTAACTGAAATTTTATTTATTATATATCCATATGGTAAGTACATTGCTTAATCCAAAACTTAAAGCTATACCAATATCAGTGCACAAGTAAATTGTGTTCAATGTAAAAGAGAGCCAGTTTAGGAGGGACAAAACTAATTAGACACTTGGATAACATGATATGTTAGAAAATGTAAACACCAAGCATAGGTCATCCTTATAAATAGAGGATTTTCAGAAAATTATTAGTTCACTTTAAGTCTTCACAGAAGAAGGATATTTCATAAAATAGCACCACAATGTCAGAAAGTAGAGAAATTTGAGTGTAAATGAAACAATTGGAAATTGAAGCTATACCAAATGCTCAAAGTGATAATGATGATCCATTGGCTTCAATGTATAATTGAAGTATAAAAATCATTCGGTCTAACAATACAGTTTCCTTTGTTCTACACTCAATAACACTAATCAAAATAAATAATATAAGGTGATGACTATATTTGGGGAATTGATATTGTTGCGAGTACTGTGTTTAATGTTATGGGCTGCTAGCGCTCGCTCCGGAATCAAGAAGACAGTTAGTAACGATTACTGATCGATTTATTAGTCTGGAACAAACCGGAAATGGAGACGGACTTCTCATTGAATTACTGTTTTATATTGTACAAAACTATTTTTTAATAAACCAGTAGTGTAGAGCCTAAGAACCTTCAGATCTAAATGAATTAAAAAGAATGGTCACATGTCAACGCATGGAAACAACACAAAACAGTGGAGGAAACAATAAACAAACCATGTCCTGCATGGGTTCCTGAAAAAATTGATGGCTGATACCACATCAGACAACTTCCTTGACAACCCTTTCAATTTCTATGAATTAAATGTTGCCATAGAGAACACCAAGGCCAAATCTGCACTTAGACCAAATGGAGTGGAGTATAATATGATAAAACACATGTCAGTTAAAAATAGACTAATGCTTCTTGATCTCTTCAATGAAATTTACACCACACACCAAACTTCATCTAACTGGAAAGAGGTACAGGTAAGTACTTGTTATACCAAAATCCAACTGTACAGACTGCAGGCCTATTACATTATCCTCTTGTTTCTGCAAACTGCTTGAAAGACTGATAAACAACCATTTATATTGGTGGTGTGAACATCACCACAAACTAGGCAAATCACAATCAGGTTTTTGCAAAGGTGGAACATGTGCAGACAATACAGGAAGGATTGCATACTTAATAAAAAGGTAATATAATAGTAAACAAACAATGCAATATTGTTGCACTATTGGATGTGAAGAGTGCATTCAACAACATAAACGTAAAAATACTGCTAAGAAAACTTTCAGATATGGGAATTTTCTATTTGAGAATAAAGGTAATTGGAAGCTACAACAATATGGAAGAACTATACATCAGGAGGGGAAAGTGAGCTTTCAGTATGCATAATATTGCTATCTTTGTTACTTGCCAAAAATGAAATGGAAAAAGTAATATTAACTATTTTTCATAACTTACACTTACTTGGACTTGATTCAAAACTGAAATTCTTACATTCAGCAAAACCATTGTGCGACCCAATTCGGTCTTATTCAAAATAGCAAACCATACTGTCAGAAATTAAAAACAGGCAAAATATCTTGGAATTCAGCTGGACAATCAATGGTGCTTTAACTATCACACACAACACTTGCAAGCAACTTGTACCACAGTAATGAACTTCATCAAATATCTCTGGAGTACCTGGTGGAGAAGGGAACCCACAAACCCTATTAGTACTTTATAAATCGCACATAGAACACAGCAGTTATTGGTATTTTCCCACTCATAGCAAAAAATTAAGTAAGACCTTAGAAAGAATCCAGAATGTAACAGTTAAAGTAGCCCTTGGTCTGAGAAGAACCATGTCTAATAATGTGGTATTAACAAAGGCTAAGATACCTTTATTAAGAGACAGAATCAAATTCTTAGTTGGCAAATACAACCTAAGAGTACTAAGTAATCAATCTAATTCTATGATGGATTTCATCAGAGAATACATGGAAACGGATGAAGAAAGACCTACAAGCAATCAAAGATGTAACCAGAGGAAAACGCTCATGCAAACCTGCTGGGATGAGTTCAAACCTCTCACTGAAAGGATGGAAAGACATTTTAACCTTCCCATTTTTAAAACTGACTACAACACACAATTTACCCATGTAGATACCAACTTTGCTTTTAGTCAACTAGTACAAAGCTCTCCTTCCCCAACTATTGAATTTATAAACATTATTAGATCACACGTCCTCTCATACATACATATCTATACAAATGGCTCAAACTCCATTGGGGCAATCTGTGTCTCTCTTCAACTTAACATAAAAAAGGCTACAAGCTTGTACAGTAGAGCTTCAATATATACAGCGGAAGCAACTCGGTACTCACTATATGTTAATTACAAGAACAGTTTGATTCCGTAGTGGTGTTGAACACATCTTGATAATATGAAGAGCACCAGCACTCTTAAGTATCCTATGTAGACTCCTCGTTTGAATCAGTTTGACTTTCTTCGGAGGCGTCGTCGGGAATTGAACTTTGCAGAAGATTGATGTCATTAATTTCATCAACAATCTGATCCAGCTCAATAAATTTTTGTTCCTCCTCCACAGTATGACGGACAAAGTCTTTCCAATATTCCACAGAAACACCTTTGATACCTTCAATTAGCAGTTGTTTGACATCTGCTAATTTGTAGGTTGTGTTCTGAGTTTTTACATATTTTTTAACCATTGCCCATACCATATTCATTGGGTTTAACTCACAATGATATGGGGGCAGACGTAAAATTTCCTTTCCGTTCTGCTTTGCGTACTCGTCTACTGCGTTTTTGTCGTAAAGGGGCTTCAACTTTTTCACCATATCTATTAATTCCACTTTCACGGAAAGTGGAGGTATGGTTTGCCCTTTAGACTCCAGCCAGTCTATTATTTGTGGTTTCGTCCAGCACATCGTTGGACACCGCTCCATTTTTACCGAATGGTAAGGAGCATTATTCATAATGATAACGGAGCCCTCCTTCAATGATGGCAGGACACCCCGAAACCACTCGAAGAAGGTATCTCCGTCTATCTCGTCATGGTAGTCCAACAAATTTTCCTTAGACTCGAAAAACAGGAGGCCTCCAGGTACAAAGCCCTCGGTCGATCCAATATGGAGGACGATGAGACGCTTACCTTTGCCAGTCGGCTCGGGTATGTCCGTGGAGAGTCCCCGTTCCTTGGCTTCTCTGGCTGATTTCACACTGCTGTCCACCCAAAGCTCTCTTTTGCAGTCGCCAGCATTGATCCAGGTCTCGTCTAAGTAATATATGTGACGTCCTTCGGATCTGTATTGCGCCAGCTTGCTAAGATATTTGTGCCGCCAAAGCACAATGTAGTCCTTTTCCATCAGAGCGCTGTTTCGGGATTTTGCCTTGAATTGAAAATTCAGCTTCCGCAGGATAGTATGCAGTGTAGTTCTTCCATACGTGTTGAGGGCGGGGTCTGCATTTACAGCCCGGAGCATCTTATTCAAATTCGGCACTTCTCGCCGAAACCAGAAGTCATGAACTTTCTGGCGAATTCGATGTTTCTCCTCATCAGAAAGCTTCTGTATGGCGTTACGTCTCTTCCGCTTTGTTTTTGGCGAGGACACTTTGCCGGTATTCTTGTATTCGGCAATGATCCTCTTCACGGTGGACAGCCCTATACCGCTTATCTCAGAGAGCCTCGCCATAACGATGCGATATTTAATCGACGGCTTCTCCGCAATAATTTTCTGGTACAGATTCACGACGATTTTTCTTTGTTCGGACCGAACATACTGTAAAAACCAAATTTACAACGGTAAGAAACTATGATGGATCAAAATTATGTCTAAGATGAGTATTTATTGAGATATTTACGATAGAAATTCTATTCTATTGAAATCAAATTTACTGGTAGAGAAATATACTTCTGCATGTTTTTGTGTAAATTCGATTTCAATAGAACAGAATGTATGCAATGAGAAAAAAAGAAAACAAAGATCTCAATAAATTCCATTTTAAAAAACCATGGTGATCTTCAAAACTTGATGTATAAAATCAATGTAAAAAAAAAATTATTGTAAAAAAAAGTCCCTTTTGAAATCATGTAACTTTTGCTTCATACGCTATTTCGTACAGCGAATAGTTTACGAGCAATTTCAAGTCGTCAAGTTAGGTGAATCACCCTGTATACTCTTCATACGATTAAAACAATTAATGTTGGGAAATTAAGTTACCTTTCCTGAAGGATTTCTGATTGTCGATGAGCTGGAACAGCTTGGCTCCTGGTACTCCATTTTTATATCTTCTAACTTCACTTCTAAATTCATTTCACTAAATTCCAATGAGTTATTCATTCTACACTCCGTTCAATATACGAATAACCTCACTTCGCGCATGGGACGTGCGTAAGGCAGGGCTAGAACGTCTGAACCCCCACTTAACCGCCTACATTTTTCTCCGTCTTACCCTCTGCTACGTTCTCTGTCTACTGTTCCGGGCGTGTCGCCTCATATACACGGTGACATAATTAATTTCGAACACGCACGGCTAGCAACTGTGTTTTATAAAAATTGTTTTGCAGTTCTTTTGAACGAACTTGAAGTGTTTATTTAACATGCATGTTATTACTTTTAAAGGCGTTGCTGTTTCTCAAGGTAGGTTTATTACATTAAGAAACTAAATCGACTTGAATGATGTTTGTAATATTCAAAGTACAAAAAAAGTATTTTAAAATAAAGTCCGTTCAAGTTAAGAGTAACCTCGCTCTCGGACCGATTTTCGTCCGTTCTGCGCAGTTCCCACTACTACCTACCAATGTGACGCATGCGATTGGTCGTAGCGCCATTTCGGCTAGGCCCAAAAACGATGACAATGTAAACAGTACATAGAATAGAGAGAATCTACCCGGTGGTCTAAAAGTATGCGCACCTACTGTGTGCATGTTAATGCAGCGGTTTATGACACCGACGAATAGTGGCTAGTGGTATGAATTCAGCCGGATAAAATAAAAATATCAATATTTAGGGAACGATTCAAAATCATTTAAATTCTTGAAAGCCATATTATAAAGTAGCTAATTTCATTAGGTACAGGGTGTAAAAGAATTAATTGTCACGGTTTCAGGAGGTGAATCTACACCCTTAAACGAACGCCGTTTAAAGGGACAGCAAGGTCTAAACTCGAAGGCAGGCCCGAATCAAGTGGCGTTTAAACGTCGTTTGTGTAGGGGCACGCACACCAAATATCGAGCGTGTCCCACACGGCTAGATCCTACCAAATGGCAGAGTGTTAGTAGGTTAGTAGGTCCTATACGTATAGCTCTACACAATCAAATCGTTGTCAAACTTTATCAACGTTTATCTCGGAAACTATTTGTTTCCGGCATATGGCTCCTTTTAGACTTTTTTTCTTCTCGTCGAGCAGAATACGATGATGTAAAAAAAAATTTAACATTAATTTTCAATGTTATAAACAATTTTGCGGAAACTTTTTTTTTACAAATGTCCACCGATCCAAGGGTGTAGATTCACTCCCTGAAACCGTGACCATTAATTTTTTTACACCCTGTACCTAATGAAATTAGGTACTTTATAATATGGCTTTTAAGAATTTAAATGGATTTTGAATCGTTCCCTAAATATTGATACTTTTATTTTATCCGGCTAAATTCATACCACTAGCCACTATTCGTCGATGTCATAAACCGCTGCGTTAACATGCACACAGTAGGTGCTCATACTTTTAGACCACCGGGTAGATTCTCTCCACTCTATGCACTGTTTACGTGGACATCAGTAGGTAGTATATACATAGTGGGAACTGCGCAGAACGGACGAAAATCGGTCCGAGAGCGAGGTTATTCTAATAGTGGATAGAGTTTAGCTAACCACGATCTAACCTAATCATACAGGGTGTTTCAAAACATGTGGGTATAACTTCAGGGATGAATTCAGTACGCTAAAATAAGAAAAAAATTTCATATAAACATATACCCGTGCTCGCGAGCCGTGCTATGGCCACCCCTGCTTTATATTATACTTAATTTTTGTATAATCATTTAGACGTATGCTACTTACTATACTTTATATTATTCTTAATTTTTGTATTTTAAAATAATCACTTTATATTACTTTAGCGAAATGTGTGAGAGCTAACACGAAAAATAGTAGAGTCTCAATTCTCTAATATGGAATTTTGTTCCGAAGCACAAATCAACGACAACAATTCAAATTGCAACATTTCTGACTGTTTGCATATTTCATAGAGGAATTAGATTTCTTTTAGAAATTAATGCCACTATGGGAATCAAAATTGTCCCCAGGACAAAGAAATTTATCAGTAACGAAGCTAAGGTACGTCGAAACAGATCTGAGCAGCGCAAGTCAGATGCAACAAAAAAGGTTCGGAATTGCTTGTAATTCTGAACAATCGGCTCAGTTAGAATTTTATGAAGAAGAGGAAGGATCGTTGTATAGTGTAAATATTATTGATTGAATATAAGTGCATCTAATTTCTCTTTATTGTATCTAAACTTAAACTTGAACTTTAAACGCGATTTTCTCGAAACCATGTTTTGCGAAATGGTTGCCACGATATCTCAATAACGGTGTGTCCGATGTTAATAAAATTTTGCGTGGATATTCTAAAATGTCGTCATTATCGTCTGAACCAAGATTATAAAGACATTTGCAAAATTGCCCTTGTAATTAACAAATAAATCTCACCATTGAAGGGACTTTTCTATTTAACATGGCGCCATTTTGCTAAAAATTAATTTTAACATATGATTTTGGTTCAGACGATAGCCACGTTCTTACTCAATAAAATTTTCTTTGAATCATTTGTTTCTGCCGTTTACGACGGTCGGAATCATGGCAACCAATTAGACGTACACGCCATTTTCATGTCTTCATACAGACATCTTACACTTATTGTTTCACGCTAAAAAATATATATAAATATTGTTAAAAGGTTGATTAAGTTATTAAAACTGATTAGATTTGATTCAGTTATTTGTGTACTACACTTACTTTGATTATCCATAAAGAATTCTGAAAGATGGCAATGAAACTCGCGCGCTAGACCAGAATACTCCCTTAATCACTTTCCGGACGCCTGGAAAAAGCTAAATTAATAGCACTGCTGAAAAAAATCCAAGGACCCGTCGCGCCTCAACAACTACCGGTCTACCAGCCTGTTACCGAGCTTAGGAAAAATCTTAGAAATCGTGGTGAACCAAAAAATTCTACACTACACCGTAAAGAACAACATCATTCCCGAACAGCAATTCGGGTTCAGGAATAACACTCAACCACGCACGCGATTACTAAATTCGCGTCAGATGTTGCATAGGCACTTAACGACACGCGCTTTCTAGTCGCGTTCAACATCAACAACGGTCTTCAACAAGAAGCAATAAACTCCCCCCATATTATTCAACCTATATTTCTCAGATCTGCTCGATCTGTTCAACATGAATGGAAACGGTAACGACGGAGCACTCGTGTTCGCGGACGATCTCATAATATACTCTGGATGCCACAAAGTGGCCAAAGTGCAGGAACGGGTTCAGGAACTCTTTAATAAAATAGTAGGATATTGTAAAATCTGCAAACTTAAAATCAACGTTGATAAATGTGAAACGATATTGTTCAAAACGAAAATTATACTCGCTACACACGTGAACACACGTGTATGAACACCAACATACACATCTCACACAAACCAACAATCAAATATCTGGGGCTTCATTTCAACGAAAACTTTAACTTTGACAAAAACGCACTAATCACACTAAACAAAACCAACAAAGAAACTAAAAAGAATCTTCTACTCCAGACACATTCACACTAAAATCAAAATTACACTATACAAAGTTCTCCTGAGGTCGAGCCTACTTTACGCCTGCCCCGCATGGTTTAACATCAAACCGCACATGATGGAAAAGCTCAGGGCGTTCGAAAGAAAGGTTTTAAGAGCTTCACTCAATCTTTACCCGAGGAAAACATTCGTCAATGGGACGGAAAAAACCAACACCATCTTCAACAAAGAGACCTACAACAGGGCAGGCTGCAGTAGGATCGACCTCAAGCTGATCCATATAACCAGAAAACACTTTTAGAAAACATCACACCCAGCTCAAAACAGCCTGATAAACGGTAGTGTTTGGCATCCTGAACAGTATTTAGAAAAAGCACGACTAAATGGCTACATCCCACCAGAAGCGTTTGTCTACCTCGATAAATTAGGACTAATTCAAGACCAAAACACAAAAATTCTACATATACATATACTATATCAAACGCGCCAGATACTTCAACACAATTACATACAACACCGAAGACTTACAAGACACCACACTTTACACGACCTACAGTACAGATATACCAGATACAGACAAAGACCCAAAGACCAACAAATATCTCCAAAAAATCTTCTGGCTGCAGTAAGAAGATCTTTGGGACCATGCATTGGCCTTCTCAATGACATTCTGCGTGGAAAAATGCTTATCAATTTTATAGATACAAAAACAACAGTATGCATGTGCAGCTATAAATAAGTGAATGCGAAATTTGAATGCAAATGTATCCATCGTATGTGAGCGTGAATCTACACGCCTCTGTGCTAAAACAAAAACATTTATAAAATTACTTATAAGCAAAACACTAGCGTAGGAAAAATTTATAATGTTAAAGAGAAAAATTTTCTTTATCAAACCTCGGTAAAAGAGGAATCTTCTCAGCGCAGATTTCATTTTGGTTTCACGTGCATCTTCACCGCACACTTCATTTCATCTTTCGTACATTGTAAATATCATTTCATCACCCTCCATCCTCATTTAGTAATTAATTCTTCTTTTATTTAATTTCATCCTTCTGTTAAAAACTTTATGAAAAGTAGTTCAGTTTTTCGCCAATAAGTTTATTTTTCTGAACAAAACAATTTTAAACTAGAAGCAGGAAACTGTAAAATTGTACAAATACATACTTCGATATAACCAATCCAAGAGCATCAAACTCGCGAGACAGTAAACCCTAGAGCGCTTAGATTCTAACAAGGGAACTTCGGTAACCTGAAGTGTCCGATTTTTTTCAAACTTTGTGGGTTGTAGGGGACCTCAAGAAAAGTATTGGGCAATTTTTTTTTGTCCCAATTTCGGTTCTTCGGGGTGAAAACAGTCCTTGAATGAAGATAAGTGTTACCCTATTTCCCTGTATATCTTTAAAACTATAGTAGATATAAAAAAATGTGTATAATAAAAAATATTAATTTAAATATTAAATAAAGGCTTTTTATGCCTTATAAGACTGTGCTATTAAATTAACAAAAATTCTTTTTTCAAATAAAAAATTTTCCACTACCGTTGTTGTAAAAAATTTTTAATTTTCTATCATATCGAAAAATATTTTAAATAAATGCAGATAAATATGTCAATCTTATCGGATAATGTGATATTTAAATAATTTTAATCGATGCGTACTTTGTGCGCTGTCATCGTCACACTTGGAACGATGCGTTAACAGTATGTGTACCAAGTATGTGTGCTAATCTTTGGTATTTTTTTTTTATATTTTGATATGATAGAAAATGAAAAATTTTTCACAACAACGGTAGTGGAAGATTTCTTATTAATTTAATAGCACAGTTTTATAAGGCATAAAAAGCCATTTAATTTTTATTATAAACATTTTTTTATATCTACTATAGTTTTAAAGATATACAGGGAAATAAGGTAACACTTATCTTTATTCATGGGCTGTTTTCACCCCGAAGAACTGAAATTGGGCCAAAAAAAAAAAATTGCCCCATATTTCTCTTGAGGTCCCCTACAAACCCACATTTTCAAAAAAATCGGACATTTCGGGTTACCGAAGTTCTCTTGTAAGTGATGTTTAACAATCGACAGTACGTATGCGCCTAAGACGGTTGCTTCGTAGTAATATTTTTAAGATAGGAACTACATACATACATAGAATTGATAAATGTAAGTACAAAATATTATGCAACGTAACTTTGTATAAATATTGTTGTAGTAGTAAGTGTTATGTCAATAAAAAACGTTTGCTTCGTAAATGAATAGTTTGGGTTTCGAGTCTTTGAAGGTAGAAGAATATTTTTCACTTTTATTTTAATTGGTAAAATTAATATTTTATTTTATGACATCTGCAATTTATTTATATAAATTATTAATTTTAAAACTTCAAATAAAATATATTTTTACAAAAGATATGGTATTTGTACATATAAACTTAATACATAATTTTTGCCTACGATAAATATTTACACTATATACGTATGTATAAACAATACACAATATATGTAAGTATACATATATTAATCATATATTTATTGTATTAATTATGACAACTAGCGGGATGATACAAATTGTAAAAACAATAGAAATAGAAATTTTTTGCAATTTGCACATCTAACAAACAATATTAAATTACAATTACATTTGTTCAAATTGACAAATTACAAGATCAAATTGATCGTTTGGGAGGTCAAACATTTTACAACGCTCGACCTAGCCTCGGGGTATTACCAGGTTCTGATGATCGTAATATGATCGCTTTTCCGTGTATCGACGATGTGATCATCCCCGCTGCGACAATAGCAGGACTGGAACGCCTAGAACTCGTTTTAGAAAAGCTGCAGGAGAGCAACCTCACTTTAAAAATCAGCAAATGTTCGTTTCTAAAGACAAGCATCGAATATCTAGGCAGGGAAATAAGCATCGAGGGAGTCATACCGGGACGAAGGAAAACGGATGCCGTATTAAAAATGCCAAACCCCTCAATTTTTAGGCCTGTCGGGTTATTTTAGAAAGTTTATTGAGGGTTACGCCAGACTTGTGACTCCGTTGACGAGCCTGACGAAGAAGAACGAACAATGGACTTGGGGAAAAACTCAAAAAAAAGACCGTAAAACGAGTGAAGAAAGCCCTTACGACCGACCCATAGGACTTGGAGCAATCCTCCTTCAATTCACACCGGACGGAACGCGACGAGTGGTCGGCATACTACAGCAAGCAGACCAGCATCGACCAACGAAAATACCACTCCTACGAACTGTTTAAAAGGGGTAATCTTTAAAGCACCACTTAAAATAACACTTATTTTACTAATATCTCAGTAACTATTAACTTTAGACCCTATTTATGTTAGTGTAATAACAGTAAAACCACCGTATCCATGTACTTAGTTACCACGGTTTCACGTAACGGCGACTAACCGTGATTCATCAATTCAACGACTAATCGTAATCAGCTGACAGACGGATCGATGCAAAGTTAATTCCTTTATCTTTAAAAACCTTTGCAGCGTACCGAAAATATTATGTTATTTTACCGTCGCGGGGTATCGGTACATATAGCAAGTAATTTACGAGTATTTAAAGTTGTCAAATTAACTACCTTACTCTGTTTACAGAATTAGAATATAACGAAACAGAGTTTGTAAAATTTTCATAATTTGTTTGTAATTGTTTTGTAACCATATTGAGTATCCCTACAGTTACATTATATAATATTTAAAAAATATAAGGAAGTATAATTTTTCGAGATTTTGGATAATTTTTGAATGTTTGTATATACCACTTATGAGTCATTGCTGCAGTAGATACCTAAAATAAAAAGTGTAATTTATTAGTTCAGCATAGAATTATTATAATATTTTAAGAAAATGTTATAAAATATTTATACCTGGTTGACTATGACCCAAATTGTAACATAATGAAATGTAGAGCTTTGCCACAAAATTATAGATAGTGTGACATAAATAATTATCTCTGTAATTTGTAATGCACCTGATACATATTCAAAAGCACCACCATGTGGTATCTTATATACACTGGAATTAATCTTTCCATCTTTATTTTTCCTTAAATTACTAAGAATAAAATTTGTTTTAAGTTGTGCATATGATGATAGTATAAAAATAATTGCACATATTAATTGAAGATATGTAATTCTTTCCCAAGAAAAATATCCTCCTAAACCTACATAAGAAGTTGATAGTTTTAGAGAAAATTTTAAATTTTAATTATATTTTTGAATGTACAATTACCTTCAAAAAATCCTTCAGATTCACCTATAACAGATACTAATGTCCCCACATAATGGAAAAATCCAATCATGTAGTGAGAGATATTAATCATCTTGTCACTGAAGATACTTACATAATGTGTTTCATACAATCGTTTCCAACAATGTAAACTTAAAAGTAGTCCAGCTACAAATGTACATTCCGGTGATACTGGAAATGTAATTGTTCAACAAAAAGTTGAAGCATAAAGTTCTTACTAGTTGTCAAATATTTTATTTACCTAGTGGTTGTCTAAACGATCCCAATAACATATCCAATATCCATATAACATACTTAGGAGTATCGTACTCCCATAGATATTTACAAATAATTAAGTATAGCACATAACTTGATGCTGGTGCAGCAAAAATGTAAAAGTGCTTAAACCATCTAATATATTATAAATTATTGTTTTTTCAAATATAACATTAAATTAATGTTATGAAATTTTGACGTAATTAATTTATGTCATACTACTACTCACCTTTTAGGTACTTCTGTCTTTGCAACTATTGGTTGATCAATATTAATAGAAAATTTACCATAACAATAACTACGAGTTAAGAAATTGGGCAAATAAACTTCTACATAATTAAGTAATAATCCAAGAATACCCGTATACACAGTAGCTGAAGTAAATATACTACGTACAATATTTGTGGACATTTTATTACAGAAGAACAAACTTAACACCTAATGTTTTTTTATGCTATATTATTTAGGGGCAACTTCCTTAGTAAATGTAAAATAGCATTTTCGTAGCACTTCTAACGTTACCGAGTCAGCGTACAATAAAATCACAGCACAGGTAGTGATGGAAGTTGAAATTAACAACGAACATAACGGTAAATAAGTGAAATGTAAGGCACCATGCCTTATATATACGGGTTCATTCTTTTATCTTATTTCCCGCGTACGTGAGAACGAATGGGGATGGCAAATGGCAACAGCGTTACAAGTATTCTCACTATTTCATTCATACCTCGATATATTTTCCATCTATGAGCTGTTGTTAGAAGCGTAAGGTCGTGGAGATGCTAGTAGAGGGCACAAGGCACTTTTGACTACTGCTAGAGGACTTTAAACAGACGAGATACAGGATAGACTTAGCATCTTATGAAACTTTTTGTCCAGAACTTAGGGGCCGAGAAGACCCTACCATTTCCGGGTCACTACCAATGTTACCGATTCAGTAAAGAATAAAATTACATTAGTAGTGTTTGAAATTAGAATTAAATGAAAATATGAAATTACAAAGAAAGTATAGGACAGGATATCTCATAATTGCACATGAAGTATAATATATAGAATTCTATTCTTCTGCATATATAATACATAAATATGTTCGTATCTTGAGGAGTAGGAGTTAGGATTTGTAAGGGCTTGGTATACCAAGGGCAGAGTTCGAGGGTGAGACGGACTTAGTCAGGAAAGGATGAGGTCGAGGTTCGAGGATGAGTAGTAAGGAAAGGATGAAGTCATTGGTTATCGAAATTTGAGATATTTACAAAATGAGAATGGAAGGCTAATACTTTAATCCACAGCGCGATTTGGATTAACAGATAATGTGGGTATACTCCGCCATAAGATTGTTAACGGGAGGTTAACAATTGAGAATAGCACGATTATAAATAGTTATGTTACGTATACATTGACTTTAAGTGTAGTGATAAAGTAATATAAAGTCATTACTTTCAAATACAGAAATTTAGAATAATATAAAGTATAATAAGTAGCATACGTCTAAATGATTATACAAAAATTAAGTATAATATAAAGCAGGGGTGGTCATAGCGCGGCTCTCGCAGGCGAGTGGTGCGGCTATAAATGTATGTATGAAATATGGTAAACTAAAACTGATCAATGTCCAAAAGTAATTATTTTATTTCATTTCTTGTTACAAAGTTATTAGTAAACTAATTGATGTCATCTGAACTAATCTCATGGTTTGTTGTTATCAAAGATAAATGGCTTTTTCAAATATTCCTTCCTGAACTGTGGCTTCTAAAGGTAGTGTAACTGACCACCCCTGATATAAAGTATTGAAATGTGTGTACTCTTTTTCTTTTTGCCAGACTCGAATGTGAATAAAACTAACTCATTGGCAACACAAATTAAGAACCCTAACCACAACAGACAATTCACTATGGAAAACATACAGATCACTAAAGAATAAACCCAAGCTCATCCTATCACTAACAGCACACACAAATAAGGAAAAAGCAGATCTCCTGGCATACACTCTCCAGCAAATATACCAAGCCACTAACTCCTAGATCTCACCATGGGGAGCTGAAGCCTGCAATACAGTAACAACTATACTAAACACTAATGAACCAATAGATGCATCATTCATCACAGCAAGCTTTATTACCCAACACATCAAAGTACTAAAAAACAAAGCACCTGGACTCAATAAAATTACATCCACCCAAATCAAAAACCTACCTAGAAAACCCATACTGCAGCTATATTATATCTACAAATACTCATTCCAACATTCATACTTTCCAGATCCATGGGAAATAACCAAAATAGCACCATATCCCAAACCAAAGAAAAATCCCATATATCCCCAAAATTACAGACGTATCAGCCTTCTCAGCATACTCAGTAAAATACTAGAAAAACTCATCCTCAATAGACTAAACAAACACCTAACACAAAACGATGTCATCATCAATAAACAATTTGGGTTTAAAGCAAAGCACTCCACAATACAGCAAATTCTTAGAGTAACTGAACATATCATCCTGGAATTTAACAAAAAACCGAATTACTGCAATGGCACTACTGGACATACAAAAAGCTTTTGATACAGTTTGCATGAAGGCCTAATGCTAAAACTAAAAAGCATACATACACCGAACTCCCTGACCAAAATCATATACAACTTCCTCACAAACAGACACATCCAAGTTTCCATTGCTGGAGACATTTCTTCCCCAAGACACATAACAGCAGGAGTCCCCAAGGTTCAATCCTCGGATCCATCCTATTCAGTATTTACATTAATGATATACCCACAAATAACCAAGTCCACACAGCCATCTACGTAGATGACACAGCAATCTACACTTCCTCCTGGCAACCTCATCAAGCAGCAAAAACATTACAAAATCATTTAAACAGGATAACAGACCACTTTAATAACTGGAAACTAACAGTCAACTCAAGCAAAGCAGAAGTCATTCTGTTCACGACTAAAAATAAAAAAAACATACTGGACATTTACCACAACTCACAGCAGCAAACATTCCTATAGATTGGAAAACACAGGTAAAATATTTAGGCACAAAATCCAATTATACAAAGCATGTGTAAGACCCATCTTTACATATGGAGCACAAGCATGGAGCTCAGCATCAAAAACTCACATTCTTAAAACACAAACAACTCAAAACAGATTCCTCTGTATCATTCAAAACGTACCAAGAGACTACCCAGTATGCTATGATATCCAGAAAATCCCATTAAAACAGAAACGAAATATTCCCAGACTTCCAAAAACTATCCTCATATGTAATAATTCTCCATGTAAATCAGGTTTTTGAAATTTTCATCCTACATGACATATGAATATTTATAAATAACCCACCAAACATACACATACTCACATCTAGTTTTTCAGGTTACAAGCGGGTAATAAGGCACCCAACTGCCCCGGGCACCGCGTAACCACCACACAAGAGGAAAAAAGAAAAAAAAAGTGAATGAAACAAGTATTGAAACAAGTATAAGACATTCGACACCTGAGTGCGGTACTGTCCGCGACATTCGACTCTACACAAACAAAGTAAATCACGACCAGTTCTCGATATTCGATAACGTTTACATTCGGCAATCAGATAGCGATTCAGTGCAATCTGTTTGTTCCACATTCTGTTCACACATACACATAAGTGCAATAATCCACAACGTCAATCCGACCTTCTTCGAGCGAAGCACGGGAAGTTGCGTTAACAATACTAGTAATTGATATTACCTTGGGTGGGATAATCGTAATCTTGTTTCCTTTGCGTTCGTCTGTTGCTTGAACTTTTGATGATTCGGCTGTTGGGTTGTCTGCGATGTTGAGAGCCTTGGTTGTGGTGGTGCTCTTATCTTCTTGCTTCCCATGGGTTTACATTTTGATAAGCCATTGTAGTGTTTATTTCTTTTTCTCTTATCATCGTGGGGCAGTTGGAGTTTAGTGTTTTGTGCGTCCCATTATAGTGAAGACACTTAACACTCTCTGTTTTATGACATAGCTCTTCACAATGCTCTCCATATTGCTCACAGTTTGCACACTTCTGGTACCCCTACAGTTTTTGGCAATATGTCCAAATCTGTAGCAGTTGTAACAAATGGTACAGGCTATATGCTTTGATGGATTTTGGGTGAGTAGTTCTTTCAAAAGTTACTTGTATCGTGTTGCTAGGGACCCATTTTCTGGGAGCAGCACAAGACTGGAGAGGGACTTCTCTGATAGCTTAGAGTCGAAACCCCGATGGAACTGATGTTCGTCAAACTGGAACTTGTCGTTTTCAGGACGAGGACCAGGGCGACGAGCTTCGGTAAAGGCGGGGTTCCTGGGCTTCCGTCTTGGTGTAAGCTGGGACGGAAGGTGAACGAGGTGAGTATATGTGTGTGCGAATGTGTGTGCGTATGAGTGGGGCAGTAGTTGCCCCCCGACCGGGGCGGCTGGGTGAAGTCTGTACCCGACCTCTGGCCTAGCAATAAGGGTAAACGTAAGTCTGACAAGTACGGCAAAGGTTCCGTGAACGGCTGCATTAAATGCGTGGAAAACCGCTCCCCCAGTCGCTGTCTGGAGCCTATGACAGGGTTGAAGCCAGGTTATCGGGCGCAGGTATGGAGGATTAGCCGGTCACTATTTCCTCGTACCCTGAGCTGCGGGGGGTAAACCGCAGCACCATCTAGCCTGAGGTTTGGGTTAGGCGTCGGCTCGGATCCGGCGTCGCCCACTCGATAGGGGTGACGTAAAACCTATAACATCACTTATGGCGTGGGCCCATCCCGTAACATTTTTCTTTAGAGTCTTCGGTATCGATAGGGGTGACGTCCTGACAAGGCCGCTTCTCGGCTTCTCTCGAACAGGTCATGTCGCAGAAGGAGGCCGCGGAGGGGGTTTGCGAGGTGAGCGATCCCGCGAGATTGGCGTTGAGGAGCTATCAGGGTGTTGGGCGTGGCCGCGGTCGCATCCATACCCCGGCTCCGCCTCTTCCAGATTAACCGCAGCGGCGGCACCGGTGGGCGGGGACATAGTATCCACCCTACTGG